CATCCTCTCAACTCAGCCTCTTGAGTAGCTGGGACTACAGGCACACACCACCATGCCTGGCTAATTTTTGTATTTTTTTGAAAAGATGGGGTTTCGCCATGTTGCCCAGGTTGGTCTCTATCTCGAACTCCTGGACAAGCGATCCGCCCATCTCAGCCTTCCTAAGTGCCGGGATTACAGGCATGGGCCACCGCACCTGGCTGTTACAATGATTTTTAAATGTGTCCTTCCAATCTTAATTGCTTTCCTGAGCTGTAATTTCATAGCTTCAAATGTCTCCTTATATGGGGTGGGAAGGGTTTAACTGCCTCCCCTGTTCTTCTCTCACAACTGTGATTTCTCCCATTATCCACACAAAAACGTGAAATCCTATCATCCTGCTCCATTACCAAGTCTTGATTCACCTTTTCTCTGAAATTTTCCGGAATCCTTTACAATCCCACTTTACCACCATCAGCATCCAAGCTCTAGATTTCTGCAGAGCCTTCTAGTCTCAAGCAGCATCCATCCCAGGCCTTTCAATACATTGCCATCTGACCTGCCCTCTCACAGACCCTTTTCTTTATGGTCTTTTCTACCCCAAATCTTTTGCAGCCCCCTGCTTCTCACTGCCTATTTCAACAAAGCTAAACTTCTTGGCCTGACCTCCCAGAACTTGGTCTGTCCCTAGGAGTACCCACTCCATGCTTATTTCTCGCAGCTTCCCCAAGTTCATTTCTGTTTCATTTAGACTTTTCCTAGTCTATGTCTGATTACCTCTATTTCTGAATCTTTAAGAGTGCCTCGCCCTTTATTTTCTGGCCATCCATATCTCCAAGGAGTATTGTTATTGATATCAGGTGAGATATCAATATACCTCAGGGTCTTTGCCATAGAATTTTAGAAGGTAATTATATACTTGTATATGACTCTAATTAGGTAAATTATGTTAGTATTCTTCCTAATGATCATTAACTGTAAACTCCTAATTTTGTGCCCCACACTCTGCTAAGCAATTTACATGCACCATTTCACTTAACCTTCACAGTAACCCTGTTAATTCATTATTAGTGGTGTGAATTGTACATTGCTTAGTTTATGAAGCAATGGTTCAAAAGGAGAGCCATACAAGAAGATTCCACCATTTCTCTTTAGAGCACTTTGTGTGTGTGTGTGTTTAATCACAACTTGAAAGAAAATGAGAATAACAAGTGGTTTCTAGCTGTGAGTCAATAATATAGGTAATTGTTAAATTCAGAACAAAGCAACTACAATAGTTTTAAGAGTTAACACAAATCTCTAAAGCTAGTACTGGTCTATATGATATTCCAACACATTTATGCAGTTTGTTTTTTGGGGAGAGGGTGGGCAGCTCGGTGACTGGGGCTTTGTCCACAAAATCCACACTGGAAACCTAAGGGGTCTGTGCATCTAGCAATGCCAAAAACTATACCCCTGGAGTGGCATTCCTGCCCTGGCCCATGTAATCATCCTGAAATCAGCCAGGACGGACTGATACACACGTGCTGGGAGAGAGAGAGAGAGAGAGACTTAAAAACAGGCACATTCATTCGCAGAGAGGGAGACCTGTAGATTCTAAGATTCATTCAGAAAGGCAAAATGAAGCCCTTGGGTGTTGGGGGTTGCCACATGTGCTTGCTAAAAGATGGGACACTGGAGTTTTTCATCGAGGGATAAGAAGGCACACTTCCTTGAAAGACAGGAAATTGACTTTGAGTCTCAGGCCTTTCTTGTCCTCCAACTAAAGCTGAGCCTTG